CCTGAATAAAGAACTATTGCTTTTCGTAATCCAAAGAGTTAGCCTAGTGAATGCGTCTGATCTTGACATGTTGATTGAGCGTAGCGTTTAGAATTCCTTTTTATTTATATTCGTGGTTCCAGCCACTCATCAGGATACCCAAGGTTCGTCACTGATCTAGATTTCACTCCCCCGTTAGCTCTACGATGCCTACTTCAGTGGTACAAACATTGGTACAAAAGTCAGTGGTACGAACATTGTTATTCTCTCGGCGTATCCCTTTACCAAATGCATCGGAGATTCTAACAGAAAGTTATTCGAAATATAATGGAAAGGGAATGCATTTTACTATAGTCTCTCTCATTTTGGGGGAAGATGCAGTAAATCTACCGCAATAGTGAAACTTTTATGGCAACCGTGGCGCTGTCATGGCTTCACGCACAGCGGCATAGTCATCCTCGAGATCATCCCGAGTGCGACCCACCTTGATACGTATTTCTTCCGTTCCTATTGTACTTTTCTGCCTTATTCAGCGTTAGAAGTCGATCATGGCAGTTCGTGTGATTCGAGACGAAACCCACTTCCAAGGCGAGCTTACAGCAGCTGGCAATAAACTGGTCGTAGCCGACTTCACAGCAAGCTGGTAAGTAAACTTTGATCTGGGCCGGGGAAGTTGATCTTTATCGTGCGGCATATAAATGCCCCTGTGTTGCTTCACAGCCGGTATTTAACTGCAGGTGCTTAAATGTGAAGTGCGAACACGCAAGCTTTCGGGGACAAATGAATTCCTCATAAACTATTATGGCAAAATGATGAAATAAAAACCATATTTACAAAAACCATTCTGGCAATACATTTAGCGGTAAGTATACTTACCTTTTGGCCTGTAAAGGTTAAGTGTACCAACTTAATTGGTATCACTTGCCCAGCAAATGTGATGTCAGTGTCCAAACTATTACTGTAAATGGATATATATATTGGCGAGGATTAGGCCTAAGTAGGGTCAACCTCTGATCTAAGTCTACTCTTGATCTAACTTTCCCTGTAAGGTGTGGTCCGTGCCAGCGGATAGCCCCTGCCTTCAGCGACATGTCAGTGCGGTACAATAAGGCAGTCTTTTTGAAGATAGATGTGGATAATTGCAGTGAGACAGCAGCTGCCCAAGGTGTCACAGCCATGCCAACCTTCATTTTCTACCGTAATAAGGTGGGCCATAGGGTTATGATCCTTTTCAGGGCAAGTACACTGAATCTAGACTTGCAAACCTACCCTTGTCATAGGTCAAAGTGGACAGACTCCAGGGTGCAGACCCAACAGCACTTGAAAACAAGATAAAGCAGTACTATGATGCTGGAGATAGTGCAGAGGAACCTTCAGCTCCAGGAATGGTGATATTAAATTAGACACTTAGTCCTTTACTGTTTCTGGATTGATTCATGTCTAATTAAATCCATAAATACCAAAGGAGGAAGATGTGGATGTGTTCTTGTACTCAT